GAGACGGCCGCCCCCCGCCGCGACCTGACTCCCCATCCCGAGACGAGATGTGGCGGCCGGCTCCGGGCTCCCGCTCTGGGCTGCCGGTTCTGCAGGCCCACCCCTCTAACTCGCCTTCCTGAGCCACAGTGAAGCAGGCCTGGTTCCGTGCCCTTCATGATTTTCAAAGCCTGGCCTCCTGCACAGCCCCGTCCTGGCTCCCGGGAGAGTCTTCCTCTCTCTGGGAACACCTGAGAAAGGCTGGTGGAAACGCAGGGTCTGTCCTCGGCCCCTGGGACGGGGCGCGGGGGAGGACGGCATGGGGGGCGGTCCTACCCTCCACTGCAGAGGCCTCGGGGGTGTTCCCATGAACAAGCAGCTGCTGCCATGTGGCCTGTGCTCGAGAACGAGAACGGGCCTGCGAAGGGAGCCCCGGCCCTTCCCCGGGGAGCGAGCGGTCCAGGAGTTCGGGTATTTTGGCTGGCATTTCAATGTTTGCGGGTTGGACTATACATTTTATTCACCCAGCCTGCCGGATGGGCTGCCTGCATCAGTCCTTTCCACCCGGAAAGTTCTCTGGCTCTGCTACGTCGTCCTGGGAACGGAACTGAGGTGGGTGACAACTATTATAAACCGTGTAAAGGACTTCAAAAGTTTTTTTTTGGGGGGGGGCAAAAGATGGCATGGTAGTTAAGGCACTGGATCCCAAATGGCCAACTCTATGGTTTGAGCCCCAGGCCCAGCAGTCTGAAAAACACACTGGGTGTGTGTGCATGTGTCCAAATTCCTGAGAGGAGAATGGAGAAGAAGGGATTGCAGCGTGGCCATCCTCTGAGGGGCGATCTCTCACTTCCCTTCTCACTGCCTCTCTCTGGTGCGTACACATGTCCTATGGCAAAAACCTTAAAAAAAATTGTGGAAAAATAGAATTAAAGTATGTGTTTCTTTCAGTGCAAAAATTTTGAAATCCACACATAGTTTTGTTTCCCAAAAACCCACGATTTTTTTGAGCGCTCCGGAGTGCGTTTTGTTTACAGTCTCTCCCATCTGCTATAAGGTGCGCTCCGTTAGTTAGGATGACGGGAGCCCTGGAAGGGCACCGCGCAGGAGGGGAGCAGCTCTGAATTCGGAAAACATCCAGGCCTGTGAGAACCCTTCCATGACCCTCCCAACAAAATGCTGGGACCATCTGTTCCCTGAAGGTGGGGTCCGGGGTCTCCCACAGCTGCCTGGAGAGAGAATGCGGGAGTAGAGAAGTCCACGGTTTTTTCTGGCCTTCCGGGAAAGGTCTGTTCCAATCAACTCATCCCTGAATTTCCTGGAGGACTCGGGGCTGACCTGGCAAGACAAAGCTGAGGCCGAGACCTCGGCCACAGTCGGCGTCTTTACTGTAACTGCGAGGAGCCGTGACGTCTGTGCCTCAGTTTCTTTATCTGAACACGGGCTGTGCCATGACGTGCCAGTTCCGAAGGCAGGGACGTTTGGCCTGGGTAGTGCGTGGTACAGAGTAGCTGCTCAGTAAACACCGCGTGACTGCCTCGAATAAGACCCCTCGGAGTCACGCACGTCCCTGTTCTGCGGAGGAGGGAACTGCGGCTCAGAGAGGCGGAGCACTTGGCCCAGCGTCCCAGAGCCAGGAGACAAGGCTGGGCCTCCCTACGTGCCGAGGCCAAGCATGGCTTTGTCAGCGTCGGGCTGGCTGTCAGAGTATGGCCTCCCTACACTGCCACGAACCTGGGGACTTTTGCCGTCATGGGCCACCTTTTAAAACAGTAATAAAAAAGAAGCTATAGCATTTTCCTTGGTGACCGCATACCCCACAAGTGAGTACGACCCACTGGATGGTCTAGGAAGGCAATTTCGTGGCCCTGAACGTGCAGGGGCCGCGCAGTGCGGGGGGGCCATGCAGGGGTGCAGTCGGCAGCCACTCACCTTGTCCTCCTCGGCCCTGAGGTCGGGCATGGTGCTGACGCACAGGCTGACGGCCGTGGTGGCCACGAAGAGGATGGACAGGCAGGCGAAGACCTTGCCGGGCAGCCCCGACTGCGGGTTGTCCACCATCTCACGCAGCCGGCCCATGCAGCGGCCCCAGCGCGAGGCGGCCACGGCCGGGCCGCAGGCCTCCCTCTGCCGCTGCAGCGCCTCCTCGCGGCGCAGCTCGGCCAGCTCCTCCAGCTTGGCCAGCAGCCTCCGCAGGCAGCACCTCTCCAGGCTGGTCTCCTCGATGCCCCAGTAGGCCAGCTCCTCCTGGAAGGACAGCGCACACATCTCCTGCAGCAGCACCAGCTTCCCTGCTGCCAGGAAGCTCACGATCACCCCGAAAGCGCTGGGGCTGCGGTCGAAGAAGAACTCCTGGCTGTCCTCGTCATAGTCGTCACAGAGCTGCCTGATCTCCTCGGAGCTGCGGCACAGCCTGAGCTTGCTCAGCCGGCTCCGTGGGAACGCATCCAGCGTGCTCCAGGGGAGCAGGTACCTCCTGCCCCCCACGTTGACCAGGATCTCCTTTTTCAGGTCCGCCTCCGGGCAGGCATCCAGGGCATCCACCCTCCGGACCCTGTGGTAGTAAAGGCCCTTGATGGATGGCTTCTCCCTGGGGCCAGGCCAGAGCGGGCTCAAGGGGCTGCAGAAGCCATAGGGATGGTGCCTGGGGAGCAGGCCCCCGTCTCCGGACAGCATGGGCATCGCTGACGTCGAAGGCATGGGCTTGCCCTGTCTGACGCCCGAGGAAAAAGAGCAAGAAAACGGAGGAGAAATCAGTCCCAGGCAGAGCCCAGACAGGCAGTCCTAGAACGCAGTCTCTTAGCATCCACGGCATCCACTCCACACGGTCGCCCTTTCATCCTGCACGTGTTTAATGAGCACCTGCTATGTGCTTGGGAGAGACGGTGAGCAAAACCCTCCACACTCGGAATGCACACACAGAGTCTCAGGATAATCCCCCGGAACAGGCACGGATGGACCGAAGCTTCCGTGATTCCATCCTGAGCCGGGTAAGCCAGCGGTGGGCCACTTCCGGGCCGCGGGGTCTGCGTGAGTGGCTTTACCTCTCTGACCTCAGCATCACTCATCCAGATGACAAGACCCATATAGCTTTGCGAGGTACACATGGTAGAAATAGGGCCTAAGAGTTACGGGCTCTTTGGCTGGCCCGGTAGCCTTGTGGTTAATGAAGCTGGATCCCACATGGCCCACCTCGGTCTGAATCACAGCCCTGGCAGCTCGAAACACATGCCAGGCACAGGTGTGCATGCCTGCGCTCTGCCAGGACTGAGAAATGGAGGAGCCGGGGTTGTGGCGTGGCCACGCCCCATCTCTCGCACGCCCACCCTCTGGCAATTAGAAAAAAAGAAAGCAGAAAGCATGGCCTCTCAGAGCAGCTGTGATTGCGGTCCCCCAGGACCCAGCCCCGGGGGTTACTCAGTCTCCGAGCCCTTTGAGGGCCCACCACGGGACACAGTGCAGTGATGCTGTGATGCGCAGTAAGTGCGCCAAAGACGCTTCTAGACGCTTCTGACATGCCAGGCTTTCCCTAACGCACTCAGCTCGACCTCACAAGGTGGGCAGCTGAACCTGTACTGGACAGAGGAGAAACCAAGGTGGAGGCCGGCAACGCCTACCTCGCTGTTGCTTAGCACCCGGGTCACTCAGTGAGGGTCATTCAGTGTGGATGCAAGGAGGCCAGTCACATCTGACTGCTCGGCACTGCCTTGAACCCTCAGGGCATGCGTGCCGCTGCCGTGTCTCCCTGGTTTGCTTTTTCATTTGGGGGCTGGCCTTGGCCAGGAGGTAGAGAGGCACTGCATGCTTCTCCATAGTCGTCACGAGCTTGCGTGTGCCTCGGCCACCCCTGCTGTGTGACCTTGAGCCAGTCACTCCCCATCTCTGGGCCTTGGTCTTGTTAGCTGCACAAGGAGGGACCGCTAATGCTCTGTCCATTTCAGCCCTACCCGGGGCACTGACTCAGGAGAAGCATTTAGACGCAGTGCATTCGTATATTTAAGAAATCATCCCCACAATATTTCTCATCCCTGGTAACCTGCAACCATTTCTCATGCTATTCATTCTCTCTGGAGCTGTTTGCAAAGCATCTGTATCGCCTTACATTTCCAGATGCACTCCAATCAAGAGCAAAGTCGGCCACTGACCGGACATATAACGAAAGTTCCTCTCAATTTCAGAGCCGGCTGGATTCCAGTGGCCAGTGAAGAGCGCCCCTCAGGCTCTGCGTCTCCACTCGCTCACCAAGCTGGGTCCTGTGGCTCTCCGTGCAGCACTGCGTTCACCACGGGCGGCCAGGAGGGGTAGCCTGCAGAGAGGAGAACATTTTGAAATCTGAGGAGCCCGTCCTGAGCTGTCTTGCTTTCTGAATACAAAAAGCAAGACCCAGAGAGCTGAAAGGACTTGTCCAAGGTCACACTGCAAATTCAAATCCAGCCCAGATCGTCTCTCAGCCCAGGGCTCTTTCCAGAACCTGAAAACTGCCCCTTCTGCACCCACCAAAAAAACCTCGGTTTTACAGTCTACTGCCCCCCAGGCACTGGCAAACAAAGCTTCCAGAGGAGGGGAGAGAAATTCACTCTGAACAGCACTTTCGCGGAGGATGTGGGACAGCACCCTGGTCGTACAAACCCCCATCCCTGCAGCAAACGCCAACTTGCCGTGAAGTTTAACTCACCCACTTGTCTCAGGGAGCCCTTTTCCAGCTGTTTCTCTGCCAGATGCGGGGAGCCCATGTCTTGGTGCCCAGGAAAGAGACAGGTTTGTGGTGGAGATGGAGAGGAGGAAAAAAATCCCCAACACAGCAGTTTCTGGCAGAGTTAGTTTCCAATCCTTCTTCCCTCTCCTCCAGAAACCAGAAGTTCATTCATTCCGCATCTCTCCAGCAGCTGCAGAAGAGCCCTGGGGAGAGAGGTGGGGTTTTTTAAAGGACCCTCACCCCCTTTCCTCTGAGAGGCGAGGGACAGGGAGTTCAAGTGAGAGGCAGCTGGGTTGCTGTCCTGCTTCGGCAGCGGACTCTGCTCTAAGTCCCACGGGGACAGCCAGTGTGGTCCTGCAGGGGGGGATGGGAAGGGCTCAGAAATAATCTCTCCATCAGCCAGGCAGCAGGCTGGAGCGGCAGCGGGCTGCTCTGCCAGCCAGCCTGGAAGGCAGGGACACTGCCCTCCCCCTGCCGAGGAGGGGCATAACTCAGAGGGCAGAGGGCAACGTGGGGCCGGGGACATTTGCGGCACCTGTCCCCAGGCACCCCAGAGGCTCCTCTTGGCATGCTGTTGACCTGAGGTGCACAGGCTGAGGCTGCGGGAGGAGCTTTTTGGTGCTTTTAACCAGCCCAGGCCTGGGACAGGTTCAGACGCAAACGCTCAGCGTCTGAGCCCGGGGTGGGGACTCAGGAGGCCGCATGAAGGGGTGGGACCAGGAGCAGCGATGAGCAACACACACACCTGGCTCGGTGCTCTGCTGGGACCTTGGGCAGGTGAGCTAGAGCCTCGGAGCTCCATGTCCTTCTCTGTGACAAGCATGAGAGCAGGAGGGGGCCGGGGACAGTCGAATGAGAGCCCGTTAGAGCGCTCCTGCGGGGCGATGGCCCGCGACGGGGTGGGTGGAGCGGAAGAAGCACAGGTGTAGGCCTGGGGCTGGGCCCCGGAGCTGCACTGCTTCGCCGTGTCCTTGGGTGGCCATGTCCCCACTCTGGGCCTCAGTTTTCTCCACAGGCAGATAAGGACAGGCCAGGAATGGCTGACACTGCAAAACCGTCTTCAAAAGTAGGTGCTCACTATACATCACTTCTTAATTTTCTTAAGAGGTTTTGAAGCCCAGCCCCTTGGCTTCGGAAGGTAAGTTATCATTACCAGCTGCAATTCATAGCCAAGGCTCGAGGTCTGAAGAGAGGCTCGCTCAAGGTCACCTTGCTGGCGAGAAGCTCACTGGGCAGAGTTCGAGTCCTAATGCAGGGTTCAGAGTGAGGGGGACGAGAGCGCAAGCCCCCACGGCTCCCCAGAAGGGGCTCTCCGCGGCCCGGCCACGAACAGAGGCTGACGCTGAGTGGAGGTCGCAGTGCTGGGTACGTGCTTCTGCACGCCTGGGGCGTTGCAGAAATGCTTGAGGGGCCAGCCTGGGGCAGGGACAGTGGGGGACAAGGGGGAGACTCAACCTCCACCCCTGCTTCAGCACCGAAGCCCTACTCTTCTGCTGTCCACCAGGAGGCTCTAATTGTAACCCCCAAAAATGCCAGGGCCCCAAAAGGCCGTCTCCACACAGCCACTCAGAGACAGGGTGCCTGCTAGGGTTGCCCTGGCTCTGCCCCTGCCCCTGCTGCCCGGGTCTGTCAGCCCCACGCCTGTTCTAGCAGCTCTCACAGACCAGACTCCCAGAGGGCCTTTTCACCTCCTTCCCCACCCCTCATCTCCCCTCTCTCCCTCCGCCAGCTTCCTTTGATGTTGTCTTGCAATGCCTTCTCTAGCTAAGTCACTCTCGACCTAACCCCCTAACTCTTGGTTCTCCTAGAGTGCATGAGTTCAAATTAAGCACTTACCACTATTTTGCTGGGTGACCTCAAGCAAGTTTCTTAACCTCTCTGTGCCTCAACTTCATCTGTGACAGAGGACAATAGCCCCTACATATCAATCTCTCGCGAGTGTTGGACTAACCAATTTACGTTTACAAGTCACTTACAAGAGGGTCTGACACAAAGTAGCCCCCTTTAAGTGCTTGCTGGTATTATAAAATGGTCATTGTCTAAATCAGCACAAGAAGAGGTTAGCGTGAAGGCAAGAGCCTGTTTAAAAAAACTTCTAAAAGCAAAGTTAATCTACTGATTTACTACTGCCAAATGAGGGACTCTACACCCCAGTCCAGGAACCCAAAGCAGGTCTGACCCCTCGCCACTCAACAAAACACAGAGAGGCAAAATTATTGATGAGGAAAGGAGGATTTCTTACCGTCTGACCAAACTGGAAAGACGGTAAGAACATCTTCAACGGGTCAGCCACATTACGGGTGCTTTTATTGGGGAAGGGAGATGCCGCGGGGCTAATGGCTACCTGCAGAAAAGCATAAGGTCAGGTTCATCTTTCGCCGAGGACACCACTGAGAGATTGGTCTTTGAGACAGAAGCTTCCTTCCCAGCTAAGGGGCACCATCGAACCATTCACCCTCGAGACAGGAGTTTCTCTCGTGGCTGGGCAGAGCCTCCCTCGTCATCTCAAGCGCCAGGTTGGCCTTTTGCCTCCTTGGAGCTCTGGTGAGAACTCGCAAATGAAGAGGATCGGGTCGAGAGAAAATATAGAACAGTTTTTCATGGTTAAATCAAAGATGGCGTCCGTCTGGCTAAGGTAGGCCCCCTGACACTAGGACCAGCCTCTTGTCTCGTCTACAATCAAAGATGGCGTCCGTCTGGCTAAGGTAGGCGCCCCCTACACTAGGACAAGCCTCTAGTCTTGTCTACAGAGGACCCAAGACCCACAAGGGGGAGAGAAACGTCTGCACACTCATGCCCAGTCCATGGCAGGGCTGGGCCTGGAGGATTCGGTCAGTGCTCCGTTCCTGACACAGCCTCCGTGAGCACTGTCACTCTACCTCCATGAGCACCGCCCCTCAGCCTCTGTGAGCACGCCACTGCCTCCGTGAGCACTGTCACTGCCTCCGTGAGCATCGCTCCTCTGCCTCCGTGAGCACCACCCCTC